GCTCTGCAGGGTTCTCCTGGGTCAGGACAGCTCCTGCTGCTGCTTCTTCTTTTTCTTCTTGGGGGGTGGGGACAGGCAGCAGTTCCTGGGGGGTTCCAGGGCCTCCTGCTCCTGATTGTTGTGGTCCAAAAAATTCTGCTCCACAGAATTCTGTTCCAGAGAATTCTGCTGCTTCTGCTCCTGCTGGTTCTGTTTCTTCTGCTGTCTCTGCTCCAGCTTTTTCTGCTTCCTCTGCTCCTGGAGCTCCATCTCCACATGATTCTCTTCCTTCTGCTTCCTCTGCTCCTGATGTTTCAGCTTTTTCTGCCTCTTCTGCTCAGGATGCTCCTGGAGCTCCAGCGGGTTCTGCTCCTTCTGTTCCTGCTGCTCCATCCCCAGATGATTTTGCTCCACGTGGTTTTGCTTTTTCTGCTCCAGATGTTTCTGTTTCCTCTCCTTCCTCTGCTCCTGATGCTCCGTTTCCAGGTGATTCTGCTCCAGATGTTTCTGCTTTTTTGGCTTCCTCTGCTCCAGGTGATTCTGCTCTTTCTGCTTCCTTTTCTCCTGAAGCTCCATCTCCTGATGCTCCATCTCCTGATGCTCCATCTCCTGATGTTCCATCTCCTGATGTTCCAGCTTTTCCTCTTCCCTCTGTTCAAGATGCTCCTGGAGCTCCAGCTTTTTCTGTTTCCTCTGCTCCAGATGTTTCAGCTTTTTTTGCTTCTTCTGCTCCTGATGCTCCCTCTCCAGATGTTCCAGCTCCAGATGATTCTGCTGCTTCTGCTCCAGATGTTTCTGTTTCCTCTCTTTCCTCTGCTCCTGATGCTCCATTTCCAGATGTTTCAGCTCTTTCTGCCTCCTCTGCTCCAGCTCCAGATTCTGCTCCTGATGTTTCTGCTTTTTCTGCTTCCTTTTCTCCTGATGCTCCATCTCCAGATGATTCTGTTCCAGATGATTCTGCTCCTTCTGCTCCAGATGTTTCTGTTCCTTCTCTTTCCTCTGCTCCCGATGCTCCATTTCCAGATGATTCTGCTCCTGATGTTTCTGCTTTTTCTGTTTTCTCTGCTCCTGATGTTCCAGTTTTTTCTGCTTCCTCTGCTCCTGATGCTCCATCTCCAGATGATTCTGTTCCAGATGTTCCAGTTTTTTCTGTTTCCTCTGCTCCAGGTGATTCTGCTCCTGATGTTTCAGCTTTTTCTGTTTCTTCTCCTCCGTATGTTCCATCTCCAGATCTTCCATTTTTTTCTGCTTTCTCTGCTCCAGCTTCTTCTGTTTCCTCTGCTCCTGATGCTCCATCTCCAGATAATTCTGCTTTTTCTGTTTCCTCTCTTCCTGATGTTCTCTCTCCTGATGATTCTGCTTTTTCTGCTTCCTCTGCTCCTCCTGCCTCTGCCTGCCACTGCTGCTGCTCCTGCAAGGAAATTGGGGGTCAGCACCCAAAACAGGGCTGGGGGAGCACCCAAATCTCCATCAGGAATTTTTTGCCATTTCCATCGGGAATATTTTTCATTTTCCATCAGGAATTTTCTCAAATTTCCATCAGGAATTTTCTCCAAT